CAAGAAAGAACATTAAGATGGAGGTGGAAGGTCCTTTGGAGGCCAAACAATATGCAGTAGGGTACCGAAGGGTTACAAGGTTGGCATCGTTACTTACGGTGCTAGCCCCAGCGTTGCACAACCATATCAGTTAAATTCAGCAATGATACCCATGTAAGTATCGAAGAAGTCAGGTTTGGCGAACGTGCGTTTTCGATTATTCATCATCAGACACTTACAATAATATAAGTTAGGGTACAGTAACAAAAGTTGAAACATCTAATAAACAGTAAGGAGGGTTAAGAGATAAAGGGGTTAGAACCTAGTCCTGTCAGAGTATTTATTAGCTGTTTAAACTTTTTGTTTCTCTACGTTCCCCTATATTATTGTAGATGCCCGATGATGAATAATATAAAAAAAAATGTTCGCCAAACTTCACTTCTTGAATATCAGTAAACAACGAATCAAGCCATGGTTAGACTTTGGACTGATTGTTTGCGGAGCAACGCTAGTGGCATTACTTCCCTCTTCATACATTTAAGTGCTTCGATCGGGTGCGACCCGATATTAAGCATCCTTTGATCATAATCGCCGTTTGAAGTTTCAGCTGCTAAAGGGTGACCACTTTTCCCAAAGATATGTTGGCTACATATAACATGAAGAAGGCGTTAGATCACTTTAGAAGACCAGTTGACGAGCATACGCGTGCTTTAGACAAATCTTCATCGGACCAGTACATTCATATAAGGGACACAAGTGCAAACATGCGGTCAAGAATGTTCATCTTATTATAAAAGTGATCTGGGAGGATAGAGGGGGGGGGGTATAAGAGGCGGCTGGTTAAACGTCAGTGGGGGTTTGGTGGAGCCATTCCGTAGAGGACACTACTATCACAGAAAGCCTAGCAACACACACTACTCACGTAGACCAATTTTCTCTCAGAGTCCGACTAATAACTTTGAGTAAGATGCTTGCTACTGTCAGCCGAATTAGTCAGCACACCTACACTGTAAAGATGCTCACATAATGCGCAGATATGGAAACGAAAGACACGCAAGTGAAGGGAGCTATGCAAAATACGATCTGAATTACCAAACAGTCCAGTTTCCTAACAAACAGAAGTTTATTCGAAGAATCAACGATGGGACTTTTCCACTAACCACCACGCGAAACATTATTTAAGTAGCGCGAAAAGGACGGAGTTATGAATTTTTTAGCCAATAAAGCCTCACCAAAAAAAACAATTAAGAGCGCGGATAGTACGCAACTCGTGGGAAGAGGTCTAACCGATCGGTTTGTAGCATCAATGAGGCGAAGTCACAAAATGAATTTCCAACAACCAGCCTTTATCAAGATCGATCGGGCGTTACAAAGACTCACACCTCCGCAATCAAAAAAATTTGGAAGTTGATGATAAGGATTATGACGGCACACATGCACGGTTAATTTTTACCGAGGTAGGTGTCTGTCATTGTATTTTCGACATGCAATAACTCTTTAAACATCTTAAAATGAACAAATGAGAACCCTGTTAGAATGTGCAGACAAAGCAATAATAATGAGAGAGAGAGAGAGGTCTTTAATAACGCAAGGAAAGTGGGAGATCTTACTTGAAAGGTGCCCGACCAGTAAGGGCGACACTCAGAAGCAATGACGACGAAAACCAACCCCGAAACTGATCATAGCCTTCAAGATAAACGTCGGCGGCACCTGAAAAGAATAAGAGTTGGGCAGCCTAGAGAGCGTAGACGCAAGGGGTTATAAAGTGTATGCAGCAAAATGCGTTTGGAACCTACGGTCATTTGGTAGGACAGCCCTCCAGGAGAGGCCACTCTCAAACCATACATCAAATATGTCAGTGCCCTTGGTAACCTCTTGCGAAGACAATGACCACTAAAGAAGAAATAAGAACATAATTTGATGGTGTCAGACTGCAGTGCGTAACTAAAAAGAAAGATTTGTAAGTGACAAAGATGCAGATGCTTGCGTAGAAGCAACGTACCTTGTCCAAGAACGATTTTGGCACAATCTTATCTATAGGTTCTGACCACCAGAACTCGCTACCCTCAGTGGAGACGCGTTCAGCTACGCTCCTCATAAACTCCCTAAACAGGACAAAAAACAAAAATCACCAGTTGAAACTATAAAACAAAGTGCCAACGATGCAAAGAATCCCTTATTTCTAATTTAAAAACAATTTAGAAAGTCGAAATAGAAGAAGAGGCCACCTAAAATTATCAAAAAACGTAGGATTTAACTACTGACGATTTGCGATTCTGACACGCCGTTTGGAAGTAATGAACTGCACAACAGTCATACGAGTGGGCGAAAGCCGACTTCCAGCTCTAAAGACCGTTTCTTTTCACGCCAGCGTAAAAAAGGCTGTGACTAGACAAAACAACCGAAGAAGTAGCTGAGGCCGAAAAAATGAAAAAAAATCAAAGGGGTTGCTACACGTACGGATCAACAATTGGCGACAGATTATCCTTCCGGTATAGAACAGGAATAGGAACTCCCCAGATGCGTTGCCGAGAAATACACCAAAAGGGTCGATTCTCGATAAAGGGCATCATGCTGGCCTTGAGATCTG